TGCTACAAATAATGAGAATGAGGCCGCATTGGTTGGTAATTGGTATGGTACTGCTGGTGAGCGTGCGCGTTTCGAGGCCGAATATCGTGAGTTATACATAGGCACAGTATTTCACGAACTGAAGATTGTACAGCATAGCTCACGCCCCAAACCGCTAATGTCATCGCCGTCTAATGCTAGGGCGAGCGAAAAGGATAATTACATATCAAATAATCCAGGGGATGAAAACTATGGCGATAGTAAGATGTGATAGATGAATAAAAGTTTTATAAATTTAACTTTTTTTTATTTAAAGTACATTTCTACACAAACTTCGAGGACGCCTGGGATCCGAACATCTATCGGCGTCCACGTTTCGCCTCGGAGTATGGCTTCCAAAGTTTGCCCAAGCTCACAACTTGGCAGCTGAGTATGCATCCCGGTGACAATCTGCTCAATTTAATACATCACCGGCAGCATCATCCCGCCAATATGACATTGATAACGGCTTTGATAAGACGGCATTTGCCATTGCCGCTTCCGGAGGATGATAACTATGTTGAAGCATTGATTTATTTCAGCCAAATCTCACAGGCAATGGCTACGAAGATCGAGACTGAATTGTATCGCAGTCTCAGAGATACTGTACACCACACAATGGGCGCACTCTACTGGCAGCTAAATGACGTTTGGGTCGCACCATCCTGGTCCAGCATAGATTTCTACGGTAATTATAAGGTGAGTTCGTAAAGAAATTTCCACTGCATTTTAATTCCATCATTGAATCTCCTTTCTCTCCTTGAACAGCTGCTGCATTATTGGGCCAAATCATTTATGGCACCCATACATATTGTGGCGCTCTACGACTCTGATAAGGATGCCGTAAATGTATCTTTGATTTGTGATAAGCTGGAGGTTGTAGAGTATGAGGGACTAGAAGTTTCTATGAACATTTACAAATGGTCGGATTTGTTTCCAAAGGTGCAAACTGTTTGGCCAGTCACATTGGTAATGTTGCCATTATTTAGAATGTTGCTATTGAAATGTATGTAGCATCAGCTAAAGTCTTTCGTACTCATTGAACTTGCAGAAACCTAATGGCGTGCACTACGATAAAATAATACCGGTTTCAAGCATTTTCCCACGAGGTTATACCAAAACGAACTCATTTGTCGAGTTTGTTCTGCGTGATCGCACTACTGAGCTTGCGCGCAACTTTTACTTCCCCAGCCCGATAAAGGATGCTGAAGGCGTGAGCGATCCGCAAGTAACTGTGAGTTGCAAATTACAGTTTTTTGAGATATAACAAATTGAAATTTCAATTTTCTCTTCCTAATTGTTGCTTCCAGCTGAGAGTTTTCTATTCCTACTGCTACAAAGCGAATAATAACTACGCAAATATAATTAGTTTGAATGTATCCGTTGCCAAGCCAGCGATATTTCTTTACCTCGAACTACTCAATACCAGCGTTGCCAGATATAAGTTGTCGAATAACGGTTTCATGCTGCTGGTGCCAACGAAATTGGTGCATTTGGAGTTTTTCAGCAGCGAATGTTTGGATATTAAAGTGAGCGATCTCAAGGTTTCAACTGTCAATCAATATATGTTATGAAGTGTGTGCACTGAGAGAAATCGTCTGTAAAACTCTGAGAAATTTACTTAACGCCAAAGTAAGCTTAGGAATTAATTATTAAGGAAAAATTCGAAATAAACTTTTTAGCTTAAGAACCTTAAAAGAAGTTATATAATAAGAATATTTCAATGGTTTTGCGAGCTTCATTTCTATTTTCAATTGGAAAGAAAGCAATTTTCTTCGAGTGCATTACTCTTAAGAAATGTTAAATTGGTAAAAAAATTTCAAGAACCAATAGAAAAGTTGTATTTTCTATAATTGATCGATTCCTCCATTCCGCATGTTGAAATTGTGGCTATTTAAGCTCAGTTAGTTTAGACTTAATCTACTTAACCTAACTAACACTAACCTAAGTTAATTCAACTTAACCTTTAGATTTTTGATTCATAAGTTACAGCCTTGCGGAAATTGAGAGCGGTGAGAATCAGGATTGTCAGATTCTTGTTTTTGTATTTCTTAAAAATAAGTGTACGAAAACATTTTTTTCACATGCATTTTTTTGGATGTGGCAGCTGAAAAATAAAATATTAAAGAAACATACTTTCGCATCTGGCTTAAGTTTACGTGTTGAGTAATCATTGACAATTTCTAACGTTAACTTAAGTTAAGTCTACACTAACTGAGATTTTAGTCTGAGTACATCTTGTTTTCTTAGCAACTCTTCTGTTCTTTTCAATGTGACGATTTTACAGGCAACATTTAGTTGAAAGCAACAAGCGCCTGGTTTAAACGGCCTTTCAACTAATCGCTTTAAATGAAGTTAGTCGGCAGCCTACTTTTGTTTCAAGTAATCACTTGAAAAATTGCCTCATGTGAACAGCGTATTACTTTTCGCACTTGGCCATAGCAGCTTTTCTCCTTTGCAGATCGAAGTACTGCTCAGTTCGGTACCTCTCGTTGGCGTATGTATTCCTATGATCAACCGCCAAGCTCAGCTACCTCTTGCAATTTCTAATGAGGCAAGTAACAGGAGCTCAACTTGGCTTTCTGAAAATATATGTACATGCTTTTTTAGTCCTTTACTCCTTCTTTCTCTTACTCACATCTAGATACTCAGCTGGGAGAGACTCCTTCCAAGGCTGTTTTTAAAAGCAAACACCCAATATTAAAAATACATATATATACACATAGTTATTTACATACTTTTCAGATACATTTCTCTATTCTTAGGCAAATTTTTGTCCTCAAATACATAGGTACAATTTGAGAATCTGATTTTCATCCCTGGAGCTAAAAAGTATCGTACGACGTTAGTGAATGGTTGGATCCTGTCAAATCCATTTTTATTTTCTGGATCTTACTCCCATACCACTGGTCATAAGTGTACCGTCGCTCTACAGGAAGAAATAGAAATCTATCCTTTTTCAAGTGCCGCCTAGAAAATAACTTCTCCTAAAAGCTTTTGTTAAAGCTTCAAAAACGAATTATAAAATCCGACTCTGTTTCTAGACCTGACAACTAATCCAAGAATTCGATCTATCTTTATAGTTATTATATCGCTTCGTGAACAGAAACATTTCAGACTTGGATAGATCAATCTCCAGACCGCTACTTTCTGTGCACCTTCCCGGGTGTTAAGATTAAATTGTAGTATTTCACTGACCATCGAAATGAGCTTATCTACAACCTAAATATTATTCTTATGTGTCGGTGTGAGCGGCGTAAGCCACAACGCCTCAAAAATTTTAGAGTGAAGCTTTACTTTCTCAAAGTCATCTGCGTACCCAACAACTTTAATGGCTTTCGAAGTATAAACTTTTTAGTACGAACAGATGAGATGGAGCCCCAACTTGAAGGGTATCTCCTGTAGCCATTTTTCTTCACTGAAATTATTCCCAACGAGCCCTCGATACTTCTCCTGCACAGCATATTGGACACGAATAGCAATGTTAACGCAAATTTTGTACGTGATCTGCAGACTCAGATGCTGATACAATGGAACTAGTTTTTAATACCTGCCGACATAGCTTTGATACTCACATGGGTATCTAACTGAACTGCCATTTATGTAATGAAAGGTCTTCCTGCGAAGAGTTTGAAGAGGTTCAAATTAGAGCTGGAAAACTATCGATGGCACTAGAGGCAGTATCGACAGATTTTGACTATCGAAAACATCGATAGTTTTCAGTCATACATACATTATTCAGCAAGAGTAAAAACCGGCGGTACTTGCTTCATCTCGTGAGTCGATTTGGGTCGAGTTCAGCAAAGTACACCAGTCGTTTCTCTTCTGAGCCAAGCAACGCCAATTGGAAATGCCATGCGAAAAACAAGTCTTTCTCCACTTGGTCTTTTCATCGCAGTGGAGACCTCCCTCTTCCTCTGCTACCACCAGGGGTTTCCGAGCTGGAGCTTCGGTGTCCATTCGAACGATATGCCCATACATATAAGCTAGTCAGTATACAAATGGGTGCTCTCATCTGCCACACATTGCCACTGTCTTATCCGCGTTGCTAAATTCGGAAAAAGTAGAACATATTAGCACCTTTCTTAGCTAATAAGCAGAAACTTTAGTCGATGGACTGAGAAGTATGAGATTGCCAGTGGATTAACCTGTGACCATCACCGCTTGTGGCTAGGAAACAGCTTCAGGCATCGGGGATGATCATTATGATATGACTGACGCCATAACTTATTAGCCTTAACTGCCTAAACAGGATGGTGAGGCAGTGGTATGTAGCAAGATCTGTCAAAAGTAAAAATATTGTTATGGTGTATTATTCCTGATGTAGATGATGTAGCGAGCGAAATAGCTTGTTATTATGTTTAGCTAATAAGACACAGGATTTGAAATAATTGCGAACCAATTCATATTTCTCTTCCGTCCATTTGCGTCGGTTTTGGTCAGAATTTGAGGCGCCTTTGCTCCTTGGGCTATAGCAGGCGCCTCAAAATGATCAGATACCAGCGGTAAGGAGTTCGCCCATTTGCGGTTTTCCTTGACGAGAAAGGACAGAAGGTGCCGAATGCGGAGATGCTGAGAGTTATGAAAGCATGTTTACAGAATGCCGCCTGAGTTGTCTCGCTTTTGCATCAGTGACTCGCCGATCACCCTTGCCTGTGGCAGACATTTGAATGATCGGTGTCTGCGGGAATTCCAATACCTCTATTTCGATTTACGGAGAACTGGTCTGATTCGACGTTAAAGGAAAGTCTTGCATTTTATACCAGACGCCAGGTAGCAAACTTTTGCTGCCTAAAATGGAAAAAACTAGGAGCCACCGCTCTGGGGAAAAGAGGCTTCTGGATTTCGTCCCTCTATCTCAGCCATAAGGTGCCCGCTCGACAGAGCTCATGATGATCTAGGAATATTTTTAATGTGCTTCTTTTATTAGTCAAATAAAAAGACTTCTCAACTTACCCTCACTGAAAATAAAAGAAAGTAAATATGCAATATATATATATTTTATTCTTATTCGTTTCTCCTAAGATAAATCCAATACTTAGTTAACAGTTCAAATACTTAAACTACGATTTTTTTGTTTAATGTTTGGGATAGGAGGAAATGCTGAAATACCCAGTTGCAACATAAAGTGGGCAATTTTCTTGCATCCGATTATAAAGAGTAAGAACAAGTAATCATTCTATGAATAGGTTTTCGGGAGCTACTTAAAATACTTTTATATATTTTTTAAATAAATAACAAAAACATATTTTTGATAACATAGCATAAATAAATTACAATAAGTATACAGCAAGAATGATTTGCATAGCAGAAAACAAGCAAATTTGAAAGCCAACACCTGGCAAACAAAAATTATAAGAATTATTTTAAAAAACCTTACGGCGCTTAACTATGAATACAGTTTACAGAGTTTGATATATTTAGAAAATATTTTTAGTATATTTTTGGCAGTTTATCCGTACAAATGAATGTACTTTCGATCGGGTTTCAGTGCGTTCGCTCATCTATCGAAGTGTTGTATCTGCACCTTTGGCGGCGTGTATCCGTCTGGGTAGGGCACGAGCTTGTTATTCAGTACACGCGCGTTCCGCCAAGTTCTCATCTTATCCTCGGGCGCATCGGGTACACGCACGCCTTCTATCACCGTCACTGCTGGACCGTCAACTATAGCCGATGCTGGCGATGAAGCGGCGCCATAGGGATTCGGCGCGTCCCTCAATTTTGCCACCTTAGATGGTGTGGATTCACTATATCTGTTATTAGAATTATAGTTACCGTGCTGGTTGACATTGTTATGGCTAAATTTGTTGTGGCTGGTGTGGCTGTTAGTATTACCGTTAGCCGACATGACGGCTGTCGATGAGGTCAACACTACGGCGGCGGGTATATAGTTGATCTTCTTCTTACTACCGCTCGCATAGACATCCTTGGTGATGATATTATTCGGACGTGCGGAACGGCGTGCGTTGTTCGCTGCATTCGAATAATACTCAGCTACAGAACGTAGCGCTTCATTAAAAATGGGACGAAAACTATAACCACCACCGAGCGCGTATGTGTCAGCTGGCGTATTGTATTGTTGTGGCGCTTGACGCAAATTACGTGGGCGTGGCGCGTTTACGGATTCCAGTGGCTGCCAGGAACGATCAATTGGTTGAACTACCTCGGAGGGAAAGGAGAAACTCTTATTGTTACCATTTGAACTGCGCTGCATGGGTATGAAGCTGATGGGTTGCTGCTGACTTGGCGCATCGTACTGCGCGACATAATGGAACTCATTTCCGGATCGCTGTTGCGGCTCCAAATGCACTCGCGGGCCATCGTACGCGTCGTTGCGTAATTGTAGTCCACGTGCATATTGCGCTCTGCCGCCGGACGCCTGCGCGCTATTTACCTCGCGCAGTGCATTCTGTATCTTCAGAACTTGACGCGCTTCCGCATCAGCTTTGCGCTGTTGATAGTCTCTTCCTTGGCGCGCCAGTTCGGCTTGCTTCAGCAGCGCCGGCGTATGTTGGAAACTTAATGCGGTTGGCTTGACGTTTTGTGGACGCGGCGTGGGCTTTTGTACATCGGCGCTGCGCACAAAAAAGCTACTCGCAGCGTCATCAAGTCGCCCACGCCTAGAGTCCTTGCCAACTAAGAGTTCGACATTCTCGCCTGTGTTGGACTTCACATTCACGACGCGCACCTTCTCCGGATCAAGGTTGCGCCCGAAGCGCAGTTCTGTGCGTATAATGGCTGGCTTATAGATGGTTGGTTTGCCTGTAATTTCTACAGTTTGCTGTTGTGCGGGCGTTTGTGGCTGCGCATAGCTGCACACGAGGGAGAGTAGTAGGAAAAGTGCGGTAGCTGCTTTGGTTGCGTGTGCTCGCGTTGGCGACGTCATTACGATGTGCTGATTGTTGCGCATGCGCTGGAAAATTGCGTGAAAGAAAAAAAAGCGTTAATAAATTAATTGGAATGTTTTCATGCAAGTGGAAAAAAAAAACAAATGCTGCAATTCGCTGGCATTTCGGTTTAATTGCCTACAGTTCCGCTTAGTGCCGGCAAAAAAAGGAAAATGCTACATAAAATAATCAAAAGAGTGGCGTCAACGATTTCCCAACGCTTTTAATGGTGAAAATTCAAGCCATAAATTCATTTTAAGTTTATAAAGTAATGCAGCTGAGGAATGTGGAATTTTTGCGCAGACTTAATTTGATTTAATGTTATACTTAATACTTAAGCTAAGGAAATTACAAAATTTTAAAAGCATAGGGCAAAGAGCTACACTTGGCTGGGATTTGAAAATGTACGCATATTATGTCATGAAATAGGTATTTCTTCGTCAGGGCAGTTACCTACATAGTTCGCAGTTATATAATAGTATTTTATGCGCATATGTTTCGTTTTTTATTGGCAATAAAAATTTAGCAAAAGGAAAGACCCAAAGAAACTTGTATACAGAAATCCCGATGTGAAAAGTCAGATGCATTTTTTTTGCAATCTTCTGTATTGAAAGGCGATAAATATTTATGAAGAGAAATATATTTTCCATAAAAATTGTATGTATGTATGTAAATATGCAACATGCATGCCCAGCGGAAAGTCCTGTGAACCAGCTCTACGTGACTTTGTAACAAAGACCGAAGTGGGGCTGGAAGCAGGTGAGTACACATTGGGAGTCTTTGCTGATATTGAGGGGCGAGTACAGAGAGTTATTTATAAAGTTGGCATTGCAATGCCCTTTAATTTTGACATCTAATGACAAAATGATATCAGGAGTCTCCTTGGAAAGAAAGTACGTCGTTAGATTTTCTACAAAGAAGAAATGGAGAGATCCCGACACTCTTTTGGGAAGCTCGGTGAAATCTTTCTATAGCGACGGCTCAAAGACTGAAAGTGGTACTACAGCTGGATTGGATCTGGAATGGTAACTTCAGATGCTATACTGCTTAAAGTGTAATGGTAACGACCTTGCAATCGAAAGTCTTGATAATACTGAAAGTGGCAGCTGCGATAATTGGCGAAAGGTGACGGCACGGACGTAAAGTCAGCGTCAGCCAACCTGCTTACTTTCCGAAGCATTGAAACAAAACGTAAGTCAATATTAAAAGCTTTGCTTCGCCAGTACACGAAAAACGGTAGCAACAGAATTCTGTTTACTGACGAGAGAATTTCCACGACTAATTGGCAATCTGGTAGCTCAGACCTCAATCGATTGAACCGCAAATTAAGGTAAATTCTTGATGAGACATATGACTTGTGGAGGCCACTTCGCATATTGTGTGCTACAATCTTTAGATATTGGGGTTGTAAGATCTTTATCTTAGTCTTACTTGTGCCCAACCACGACCGCCATTCCATTCTATTATCGGTGGGTTTTCGCTTCGTTGGACTTTGTAATTTCAGCCCATCGATCCTCTCGCTTTTTCGTTTCTTGGAACCTTGGATTTACAGCCAATTGAGCGCAGAGAAGTTTCACTTCAAATACCACATACATACTTAAGTACGTTATTACAAGGAAAAAAATACACCCTTTAGTCTAAAGTATGGCATGGCCATTCGATTTTTTTTTGCCTTTTTATATTTTTCGTCTTGTCAAGGAGATAATTTCGTTTTCGTTCGTTCACCTCAAATACCCCGTTATAGTAGTTACCCATCCAATAAACTCCAGTTATGCAATCTCTTACTCTAGGGTAAGGAAATCTATTCAAAGAACCAATTGGCCCTAAGTATGATGGATCGTGGAAAAAGTGCTGATGGACCCCCGTTGTCTCACCCATTCATTCCGATCCGATATACATACGAAACTATGGGCCGAATCTAGGAAAACTGACAGGATTTTTTTTTAAAGGGCTTTGATATGCTTAATTCCAAAATTTTTTTTCAAAACTTCCGTGCGATGTAGAAAAACAGCGTGGATATCAATTGAAAGAGAGAAATCTAAAGAATTAAAAAATAAATAATTTTTTTATAGAATTAAAAATAAATAAATTTTTTATTCACCAGAACGCATAGGTATTGAAAATACCTATTTAATTAATTTTATTTTTATAAGCTAACAAGATGAGAAGGACGAAATTCGAAAGTGTGTTCATGTGCATATTAGTTCTTAAAATATAATTAAAAAAAAAATAAATATTGCGAAATTTCAAGAATATTCAAGAAAAAACTTTAAAAGGACATTTTCAAAACTTAGTCGTCCTTATGTGTCAAAAAATCATATATTTAAATCTAAAAAAATTTCCGTTTAATTTGATACCCATACATTGTACTGAATTTTTAAAATAATTTTTTTAACTTTTAAACTTTTAACTTTTAAAATTACAAAGTCCTTAAAAAAATCCTGGCTTCAGAAAGAAAAACTAAAAACGCAGTTTTATTTTATATGGCTCATGGATTCGCGACTATATTGATTTTTTGTATGTGAATCAATTTAACTGAAGAGTAATTTAAAACGAAGAGTTTGCTATGTAATAAATAGTTTGCAGTATTGCAGACAAGCTCACGTTATTAATCAATGACCTCTTCCACAAACGCATAACAAAGTCGCTTTCATTTAACACATACATACGCAACATGCATAAATTACACTGGTCTACAAGGGTTTTGCGAATAAGACGGGACCTGGTGTTTCCGAACGGATTTTTCGTGCTGAACACGAATCTGGGGTCCAAAACTTCCCATCACGTCACGTTTTCGAGAAAAAAGGGGTTGAAACCCCTAAAAACAGCGTTTTTGGCCATTTTTGAAAAATTGTAGAGCTGAACCCTGACGTGCTACAAACTTTGTATATGTCAGAAATTAAAGGCTAAATCGTGCCCTTTCGAATGAGCCCTATGCCGAATTAATCGCATGCACCCTTAGATCAGGGGGTGTATTTGTGTCTAGGAGTCCAATTTTTATATCCACCATATTCGACCCGTCATCTTAAATTTTTAAAATCTAACTGCAGATTCGTAATCAGCGACTTTTAATATAGTTAAAACCTTGGCATTATTAATTTTCTATGATCGTTTAAGATTAAATTCTTTCTGTGATCAATTTTTCCTGCACCCCTAAACACAAATACACCCCCTGCTTTAAGGGTGCACGCGATCAATTCGGCATAGGGCTCATTCGAAAGGGCACGGTTTAGCCTTTAATTTCTGATATATGCAAAATTTGTACCACGTCGAAAACGTGACGTGATGGGACATTTTTGACCCCGGATTCGTGTTCAGCACGAAAAATCCGTTCAGAAACACCAGGTCCCGTCTTATTCGCAGAAAAAAAGTTGAAATTTGTAGACCAGTGTTATTGGATCAACTCGAATGCAAATCAGTAAACTCAATAAAGCTCATAAACATGAAATTGAGACATAAAATAAAATGAGACATAAAGAGTTTGTTGATGTGCAAAAATGAACAAAAATTGAACACAAAATTAAAACATGCTAAATGGTAGTTTAAAAGTGCCTGCATGCTACTTTAATTGAAGGCAATATACTACTAAACTGCGCAAGCGAACATTTGGCCAACATTGAAGAAGGCGGATACTTTGGGCGCCACTTTCGATTTTTTTTTTGCCGATTTCTGTGCGCTTTTCCTTTAATTACAATTATAAATTGAAAAGGCATAAAATCAGTGCAAAGAAAAGTAAACAAAAGCGCTGAGTAAATATCGCAATTTCTTAATAATAATACATACATACATACGTGGTTTAATATCTTTTTTTCTTTGAACTTAACATTTGTGCTATAAAAGCCTTTGATGCTTCTGTTTTAATACGATTATTTCGAGCGCTAATTTAGTTAGTTGCATTGATCAAGAAAGCGAATCGACAGCTTAGCCGGTGAAGCATACGAAATAGTATAGAGAAATATTTTATGGCATAAAAAAAATAATAAAGGATAGTATAGAGAAGAAAAACAATCAAAGTGCGCAGTTGCTCTGCCGTAAAACCATTAACAATTTTTACTATTAACCATTTTTCGCTATTTCCCACCCAAGCATTTGTTTTCAGTTTTTAATGCACCGTTAAATTCGCTTAAAACTTAGTTTAAGAATTCGTTAATTAAAGTCAGTTGTTTTTCCCTTTTCATTTTAATTTAGTATACATTAATTTTACTTTTTTGGCTTAATGAACTTCTTCAGGAAATAAGCGGCTCTAACTTCACTGGAAATAAAGTATTAACTAATTAATTTTTTTAACAAAAAAAAAAAACATTTTTTTTTGTGTTTAATATAATTTTTCAGCGAAAATGTGAGAAATAGAAAATACTAGTCCGACGTTCAAATTAAAAAAAAAAAAACAAATACAGTTCATGTAGCCTATGGCCGCAGTGTTATGACCTCGAACATACGCACGCGCATGTACTCATATTCGCTCACTGTATTTAGCAAGCTTATTCGTTTAGCTAGGAGAGAGTGCCCTGTAGGAATGTACATACGTATACCAAAATACTAATTCCACAAATAATTGACTTGAAATACGACAAAGTGAAATGTGTATATTTATGAGTTGTAATGGGATATAGTGAGGCTTCTGGGTATTGGGTTACAGTTCTTGAATGATGACGACCAGTAAAAAAGAATGTCGCATTGAGAGCCCCACTGTGTGAGTAGGGCGGACAGACTAATTTCCCGTTAAAAAGACTGACTGAAAGACATTAGCGCGAAAAGCTTGAGATACCTTTCGTTTGGAAAACCACAGTGAAGTATATCAGAAAGCTAGGAGACTACGGAGTATGCCAAGGCTTGGCCGAAATCATGTAAGAACAACCCCGCCGACCTAATGACAGATGCCCAGAACATACTCAGGGATCACTTTTCTGCCTTGCTGAATGTTAGCAGCAAATTTTTAACGAAGCACGTTCCGTTTGAACTCTTTTAGTTCGTATGGAAAATACTTATCGTATCAGTACTTTTTTCTTCCTTGAGAAGGGGGAAG